GTCACTGAAGAGAGCGGCAGTGCCCTCGGATGTGGACGATGTGCTCTCTCCGGCACAGCATTCGGGCAAAAAGGTTTGGGCTGATTTGGTTGAGCATGGACCTGGGGGGTCCAGAGGCAAGGGGCATGTGAAAGCAGATCACAGAATGGTGATTGAAGATCAAGGGAGTATAAAGGGGAAGGGGGATAAAGGTGGTGTAGTATGTAAAGGAAAACCTCCATTGACAAATTCAAGAGTCTCTCTATAAATATTAATTGTCTGAGAAATTGTAGGAAGTTTCATGAGCTTCTTATTAGGTATGGTGTAGATGTAGTGTTTGTGCAAGAGCACAACCACAAGCTGGGTTGTATGTTGATGATTGAGGGGTATACTGTATATGTGGCACACTCAATGAGATTGAAAGAAGGAGTGGCTATTTTGGTGAGGGAGGCTAGCCCGTTTAGTGTACATCATTGTGAGGAGGGGGAGGGGAGGGTTATAAGAGTGGATGGGATGTGGGGAAGGGATAAAATGTCTTTTGTGTGTGTTTATGGTCCGGCGGAGGGGGACAGTCGAGTGAAGAAGGGATTTGTACGTGAAGTGTTGGTGTATCACTTAAGGTCGCTTCCACCATTAGCTGTGGTGGGAGGGGACTGGAATTGCGTCATACACCGCAGGGATGTGGAACCTAGGGGACCCAGGATATTGTTCTGGTGTTCTGAGGGACATGTTAACCGGGGTGGGGTTGGTGGATGTTAAAGGGGGGGGCGGCGTGGGAGGTGGAGCACACCCTTTGTGGGGCAGGGGTATGCTGCACGGCTGGACATGATATACGTGACAAGGAAAGCAGTGGTGCGGAGTGAAAGGGGTTTTGGATGTGTTTTTTTCTGATCATAGAGGTGTTTTGGTGGATTTGGGATGGGACGGTCGGCCGAACAGGTATAAGAGTTATTGGAAATTGAATGTTCGGTTGCTTCAAGATGTTGAGGGAGGGTCCTATTTGCACAATGGTGGAAAGGCTTATGGAAGGGGATGGAAGTCAATGGGATGTGTTGAGATGGGGGGATGTGACGGCGAAGACGGGTTCCAGGTTCTATGTCCGACAGGGACGGCACGAGAATCAGTTGGCTTATGGGCTTATTAGGTATCTTGGGGGGCAGTTAAGGGAGTATTATGAGAGAGGAAGGGAGGGATGGGACCCCCAGTGGCTGACATAGAGGGAGTGAAGGAACGCCTAAGGAAGTGCAAAATGAGAGGTTTGAGCAGCAAGGGCTTTAGGGGGTTGGATGAGGTCAAAATGGGGTGATAGACCCTCGGTATGTGTCCTGCGAGTGCAGGGGCGCCGGCGCATTGCAAGGAAATGATGGGTTTTTAGGGTTCTTGAGGACATGGAGGGTTATAGGAGGGACAAGATTTGGGGACAATGGAGGGGGTGGGAGGGTATGTTGATGCTTGGCTTAGTGCATTTTATGAGGAGTGTGGGTGTGAGAGGGGGGGCTTTAAGAGAGATGGGGGGATGGGTGCAGTGTGTGCTGGACAGGGACGACAGGGAACAGTTACAGGGGCCTATTGTGGAGGAAGAGGTGTGGATGGCTTTAATGAGTATGAGCAGGGGTAAGGCACCGGGATAGATGGGGTGCCTGCGAGTTTTTCATACAACATTGGGAGTATTAAAAGATTTTTTGGTGCATTTATTTAATATCATAAAAGAGAGGGGTGCACTGGGACCTTTGCAGGCGACAGCACTAGTAGTTTTGGTGCCAAAGGTTGAAAGTCAGTGCACAGTGAGAGATTACCGGATGATATCACTCATGTGTGCAGACTACAAACTTTTTGCAAAAATTTTGGAAAATCGTATAAAGAAAGTCATTGGAAAGGTAATAGTGAGGGGTCAATATGGGATTTCGGGGAGATCAATGTATGAGGTGCATGGGGTTACTAGAAGGTTTATTGAGGGTTCACAAGAGGGGAACGAGAGGTATTGGCGTTGGATTGGAGAATGGCGTATGACAGTGTCGAGAGGGAGGCTCTGTGGAGAATCATGGAGTTTACCTGGAGAGAGTTCCGGGGGTCAACGCCCCCGCGGCCCGGTCTGTGACCAGGCATGGGTTCGGGGAGGACTTTGTAAATTGGGCATGTACTTTATATCAGGGACCTGGGATGTGTGTACAGATTAATGGGCGGGTGGGCTTGCATGTGAAAATGGGCAGGGGATTGAGGCAGGGATGCCTGTTGTCACAAATATTATTTGCATGTTTACAGAATCCGTTTTATAGGGCAGTGGAAAGGTACATACAGGAGGGGGTATGGGAGGACATACGAGGTGGGAGTCCCGGTATCACAGGTTATGTTGATGACACAACTGTCCTAGTGAGTGGGAGGGAGGGATTGGAGGGTCTGGAGAGAGTTATAGATGTTTTTGGGATGGCAACAGGTATGGCAGTGAATGTGCATAAATCAAAGCTCATGAGATTGGGTGAATGAGATGGGCAGGAGGGCGGGGGTGGGGGGGTGAGGTGGTGTGTCGTGGACCAGGTGAAAATTTGTTGAGTTGTGTATATGGGTAATGCTCAGATGACGAGGGAGGTTAATTCAAAGGGTGTGGTAGATAGAGTATTGGGAAGATTGACAGGATTGCGGCCGACACATCTTATGCTACACCAGAGGGTCATTGTGGTCAATGTGCTTTTATACAGCAAAATATGGCATGTGGCAGCTTTGTACCCTTTGGTGCATGGGGATGTCCGGAGATTGTTGAGCAGAGTTTTCCGTTTTATCTGGGGTTCGGGATGTGATTGGTTGAAAAGGGAGGTGGTAACACTTCTGGTGGCCTTGGGAGGGCTGGGGTTAATTCACTTGGAAAGAAGGTTGAAGTGTGTATATGTGAAACATGGGTTTCTAAGGGTTCAGGGGGAGGGGAGTGGAGGGTTGGGGATGCTACAGGGAGATATTCGGAGATGGTGGAAGGGACAGGATTTGAGAGATGGTGAGGAGTTGTTGCATCTATTGATGATGGCCAGAGATCAGAGAAACATGCGGGTAGAGTCCACGGAGAGGAAATTATGGCCTAGGGTGGCAGTGGTAACGGAAGGAGTGTACCCGCTGTACGCAAGGGAAGACATTTGGGGTCGATTAAAAGGGTTACGCATCCGGCCACGTGTGAGGAAGGTAATGTATAGGTTTCTTCACGGAATATTGCCGTCTGGGGTTGTTTTACAAAATAGGTGAATAAGGGAAGGTGGTGAGTGTCAGGTTTGTGGGGTAGATGAATCAGCTTTTCATGTAGTTTATTTTTGCGAAAGCCTAGGTGTTGTGCGGGAATGGTTAGGGAAAGTAATCCGGTATGTGGGGGGAAAGGGTTGTCGGTTTAGATGTAGGTGGGCTAGGGGTAAAAGTTCAAAGGGCAGTGGCATACTTAGTGGTTGATTTCGTGTTTATATCATGGGCAATGAGAGACAAAGGGGCGGAGGAACGTAGGATGGCCTTTTATAGAACAAAGTGTCGCAACAGTGAAATATATGGTAGGAGGTGGGAGAGGGATTTCTCGGAGGGCTATAGAGACTTTCTTTTGAGGGATTTATGGACTTTATAAGCGGTCAGGGGTATGAACGGGCTTGCCTTCTCCGGGAGGGGGGTTGTGTGTGTTGCAGAGGTCGATTGTGTGTGTGTAGAATTGTGTGAGGAAAGGATGTTGAGGTGAGTTTTGAGTGTGACACATTAAGAGGTGTGATAGGTTTTCTCCAATAGGATTAACGCCAATTATTTGATAATCTACTGCTTCATTATACATATTGTGTGTGGTAATATTGATTTACGATAATGACATTGTAATTTAGAGATATTGCTTTAAAAAGAGTGAACTCTATGGAATTGGTAGAAGTTAATGAATCAGATTCGGTGAGGGAGTTGCCATAGTTGGTTCTTGCCGATGACACGATGCTTCCAGGAGATTCTGAAGAGTAGTTAAAAACTTGGTAGAAGTGTTTGTAATTGAATAAATAATTAAATCAAAAGTGAACACAGGAAAGAGCAAGGGAATGAGAATAAAAAATATTAGATAAAGAAGAATTGGGTATCAGATTCGAAGAAAGGGGTATGGAGGAAGCTAATGTGTTCAGTTATTTATGTGTGGAGTTGTGGGTGGACGGGTCTAGGAATCATGAGATGAACCATAAAATTGAAGAGGAAAAAAAGATAGGTAGCGCACTGAGGGATAGTTGGATAAAAAAATAGGGAGTGTTCGAGAGTACAGTCGTACCAACACAGTTGTATGTAGTGAAGATGATTTTGGAAGCAGTGGAGATATTGTGTTGTGAAAATATTATGTAGAGAATTTGTAGTTTGGAGGTTAGCAGAGGGTGCAAGGTTACTAAAGGTATTATCCAAGGGTCTCAGAATGAGTTGTTGTTGAGGCTGGATATTTAGAGTGGATGATAGAAAATGGGAAGATTTTGAGAGAGGATGGAAGGAGGGCGTAATGGAGGTTTTCAGTGTGAGTGGCTGACATCCAACAGGCGTGTGTTAGCTTGTTATATAAGAGGAGAGGCAAGTAATTTTGTTTTGTTAGAGTATGAAGAGTTGGAGGGAGTCAGGGGGTCTGGAAGTAATTTTGTTTTGTTAGAGTATGAAGAGTTGGAGGGAGTCAGGGGGTCTGAAGGAAACTGGTCAGCAGGAACTGAGTCCAGGACGTAGGGAGTACATTGCCTGCACTCTGTAGGAACGGTGATGTAAATAATAATAATAATTATAATAATGATAATAATAATAATGTTAATAATAATAATAATAATAATAATAATAATAATAATAATAATAATAATATTATTATTATTATTATTATTATTATTATTATTTTTATTATTAAAATTATTATAACTATTATTATTATTATTATTATTATTATTATTATTATTATTATTATTTAGCTATTCTTTGTTTGTAATATTTTTTTTATTTTAGAAATAATAAGAAATATTTGTGAAGAAACTAACCTATGATTGGTGTTGTTGTGGATGACACAGCTCTTACCATAGCAGCTGAGAAGGGGAATGAGGACATTGTGAAGACGCTCCTTCATGCTGGTGCTGACCCCAACTATATGGATGGATATCTCAGGACACTACTACACTACGCTGTTAGAAACAACCATGCTGGAGTTGTTCAAGTGTTATTAAATGATTCCCGTTGTGATCCCAATGTAAAACAAAAGACCGATTCCAACCTTTCATCTCGACCATCTAGATCCTGGAATAAAGGTACTGTGGTAATTGTTATATATTTCTAAACTACTTTATGAATCTTATTCTGATCTATATAAACTTTGTTATGCCCTTCTCTATTACCTTGTGTGTGTGTGTGTGTGTGTGTGTGTGTGTGTGTGTGTGTGTGTGTGTGTGTGTGTGTGTGTGTGTGTGTGTGTGTGTTGTGTGTGTGTGTGTGTGTGTGTGTGTGTGTGTGTGTGTGTGTGTGTGTTGTGTGTGTGTGTGTGTGTGTGTGTGTGTGTGTGTGTGTGTGTGTGTGTGTGTGTGTGTTGTGTTGTGTGTGTGTGTGTGTGTGTGTGTGTGTGTGTGTGTGTGTGTGTGTGTGTGTGTGTGTGTGTGTGTGTGTGTGTGTGTTGTGTGTGTGTGTGTGTGTGTGTGTGTGTGTGTGTGTGTGTGTGTGTTGTGTGTGTGTGTGTGTGTGTGTGTGTGTGTGTGTGTGTGTGTGTGTGTGTGTGTGTGTTGTGTGTGTGTGTGTGTGTGTGTGTGTGGTGTGTGTGTGTGTGTGTGTGTGTGTGTGTGTACTCACCTAGTTGTAGTTGCAGGGATCGAGTCACAGCTCCTGGCCCCATCTCTTCACTGGCCGCTACTAGTTCACTTTTCTCGCTCCATGAGCTTTATCATACCTCTTCTTAAAGCTATGTACGGATCCTGCCTCCATTACATCACTTCCGAGACTATTTCACTTCCTGACAACTCTGTGACTGAAGAAATACTTCCTAACATCCCTGTGACTCATCTGAGTGTTCATCTTCCAACTCTGACCAATAGTTGCTCTATTCCACAGGAATAAAAGGTTCCAGAGATGGAACATCCTATTCTGTCTGTGAGGTTCTTTGCCCTTCCCCGATTCTTATCACTTTCCACTTACCTGTGTTGAACTCCAGGTGCCAGTTGCTGGACCAGGCCTGTAACCTGTACAGATCCCTTACTAGTCCTGCCTGGTCCTCTTCCGAATGAATTCTCATCATAAATTTGACGTCTGCAAACACAGACACTTCTCTGTCTATTCCTTGCATCATGTCGTTCACGTACACCAGAAACAGCAATGATCCTAAGAATGACCCTTGCTGAACCTCGCTCGTCACAGGTGCCTACACCGACACCTCGTCGCGTACCATGACTCTCTGATGCTTTCTCTCAGTAATTCTCTGATCCATTGCAGTGCCTTCCCTGTTATACCTGCCTGGTCCTCCAGCTTTTGCACTTATGTACAGCTGTGTCAACAGCCTTCTTACTGTCCAAAAAATGCAAACTACTCATCCCTCTCTCTCTTGTCTTACTGCTGTCACCCTGTCATAGAACTGCAGTAGCTCTGTGACACAGGAGTTCCCGTCCCTGAATCCGTGCTGGTTGTCGTTCAGAAGCTCATTCCTTTTCAAGGAGTTCCACCGCTCTTCTAATAATCATCTCCGTGACTTTGCATACTATGCATATCAGTGGTACTGGTCTTCAGTTTAGTGCTGAATGTCTGTCTCCTTTTTCAAAATTGGGACTGCATTTGCTGTCTTCCATATTTCAGAGAGCCTCCCTGTTTCGATAGATATGTTGAAGATTGTTGTCAGTGGTACACAGAAAGCCTCTGTTCTTTCCTTTAGGCTCCACGGAGATATGTTATCTGGCCCTATCGCCTTTAGGGTATCTAGTTCGCTAAGCAGACTCTTCACCTCTTCCTCTGCTGTATGTACTGTGTCTAGCACTTGGTGATTGTGGCATGCAAAGAGTACGTAACCTTTGTTCGGCACATGTACACACCCTCATTGACAGGCTATCTCCCCCAACCAGCGAACCAGGGAACTAAGGGTTGACGATGGGACCCCATCGTTCAACCAATACCCAGGTTCCAGCCAATGAGAGAATGGTTTTCGCAATTGCAGAGGTGATGTGGATACCACTCACCTGTCTGCCCTTGTCATTCCCATTCTAGAGCTGGTTGAAGCACGGTCTGCTCTCTAGTGGCTTTTATTCTGCATTGCTTACCGTGGAGTGCACTAATATCTATTGTTGTACATAGCGTATATAGTGTACATACTTCTGTTCTAAATTGGTGAAGGATAATACAAGTCAAAAGTTTTTCTGCTGTGTTTATTTTGCTCCCTTTACACACAGGATAACAGGCCATTGGGACTCCAGGGTTGTAATAGTGATGTAACCCACCTCTCCATGTTTCTGGGGTCCTTCCGGTCTCCACTGTCAATACTTCTGTTTTCACTGTGAATACTTCTTCTCTGTCATTTCTTGTGATCTCACATCTTTCTTTCCTCAGCCTGATTACCTGGCCCTTAACTGTTGTTTTCCACCTGATGTGGCTGTACAACAGCTTGACTTAGCTTTTGTTACTATGTCATTTTCGTATTGTCGTTGGCCGTCTCTCCTTATTTGCGCATATTCATTTCTGGCTCTTCGACTACACTCATTGTTCTCTTGGCTTCTTAGCCTCCTATACTTCTTCCCTTCTCTAGCGCATTTAGTTTTTGGCCTCTGTACAACTCTGGTTGAACCATGGGCTAGCACTGGACATTGCTGGAGCTTTCGACCGGGTTTGGCACCAGGGCCTCTTAGCAAAACTTCAAGCACTGGGAATTTCAGGTTCTACACTATGTCTCCTCAATGACTACCTTCATGGTAGATCTCTAAGTGTAGTTCTCAATGGAACGGAATCAACAAGACATCCTATTGGGGCAAGTGTTCCACAAGGAAGCGTGCTGGGACCATTGTTATGGAATGTCTACTTCAACGACCTTTTTCATCTCATCTCTGAATCATAAGCATATGCAGACAACTGTACACTGCCATTCACTTATCCAAGAGAAGAAATGCCAGCTGCTCTAAGCTACATTAATCACCAGCTGAGAGCTATATCAGCTTGGGGAAATAGATGGCAAGTAACATTTGCACCTGAGAAAACGCAAATTATGATCGTCTCTAGACACCATGATGGTAATGCTGGTGCAGTAGTAAGGATGAATGGGAGGGTGTTGGCATCTGGAGAAGTTGATATCCTTAGGGTGAAATTTGACTCTAAACTAACCATAAAGAACCATGTTGTAAATCTTGCAAACAAGGCAGCCAGGAAGCTTACAGCACTTCGCTGTATCTCACATCTACTTGACAGTAGGGGTTGCAAGATTCTGTACGAGGCACAAGTACGGTCACACCTTGAGTATGCTCCACTTTCTTGGTTTGCCTGCCCCCTCCCCTCTCATCTGCGACTGCTTGACAGAGTAGAGAACAGAGCAAGACGTCTCATCTCTCGCCTGGACCCATCCTGGATAGATCTGTCATTTCAGCAGAGCCTTCAACATAGGAGGGATGTGGGTGGCCTTACTGTTAAGTATAAGGCAAATATTGTCAAAGTACCACACTTGGATCCACTTTGAGGACAGCGTGAAACAAGCTTTTATGCCACAAGAGGGGCAGAAAGCAGCAACTTCACTCTGGCTGTACCCTTCTCCAGAACATCACTCCATCTGAGATCATACATACCCAGGATGACTAGAGTATGGAACACATTCGTTCAGCATAATGATGTCACCGAGATAAAGTCAGTTGTTCAAATGAAAATGCTGGCTCACAGATGACTCCAATTTCATCCTGTTCCCTACTTGTATGTGTCATAACAATAAAAATGCTTTCAAATGAGCTGATGTAGGTAACAGCTCTTAGCTTGCCAATAAAGTTAGGAATTCTTAATCTGTAAATAGCTTGTCAATATAGCTATGGATCCATAACCAAGCAGTTGAAGATGCTTGATGCTTCTCAGTAATTTTTCTACTAACTTCCTGTAGGCACTGTAGTCGCTAGCTCATCTAATTTTTTCACTCACTGTATTTACTGACACATCTATACATATCTCTTATCTCCCTGGTCTTGAGTCGCACTTACTCTTCAAATATCCCACTGCGTTATTATGGCAACACTATTTAGGGCTGACACAACCGTTCACCTTCCTTGCTCCCGGCCCCCACTTAGCATTTGGCATTATTTACTATGTTTTCTTTTCTGTGATCACTTATATTTCCTTTTTTGGGGGTTTAAGTGATTATATGCACTCTTATGCGTGCACACGCCTATATCCCACACTCTATTATATTCCTTTTGGTACAATCAGAAATTACAGCCAAACACGAGCTCCAACTGCGTGACTCCTCCACGTGCGTGTGTGTGTACTCACCTAATTGTACTCACCTAATTGTGGTTGCAGGGGTCGAGACTCAGCTCCTGGCCCCGCCTCTTCACTGATCGCTACTGGATCCTCTCTCTCTCTGCTTCCTGAGCTTTGTCATACCTCTTCTTAAAACTATGTATGGTTCCTGCCTCCACTACTTCACTTGCTAGGCTATTCCACTTGCTGACAACTCTATGACTGAAGAAATACTTCCTAACGTCCCTCTGACTCGTCTGAGTCTTCAGCTTCCAGTTGTGACCCCTTGTCCCTGTGTCCCCTCTCTGGAACATCCTATCTCTGTCCACCTTGTCTATTCCCCGCAGTATCTTGTATGTCGTTATCATGTCTCCCTGACCCTTCTGTCCTCCAGTGCCGTCAGTCCGATTTCCCTTAACCTTTCCTCGTACGACATTCCCTTGAGCTCTGGGACTAGCCTTGTTGCAACCTTTGTACTTTCTCTAACTTCTTGACGTGCTTGACCAGGTGTGGGTTCCAGACTGGTGCTGCATACTCCAGTATGGGCCCTAACATACACAGTGTACAGTGTCTTGAACGATTCCTTATTAAGGTATCGGAACGCTATTCTCAGGTTTGCCAGGCGCCCGTATGCTGCAGCGGTTATTTGGTTGATGTGTGCCTCCGGTGATGTGCTCGGTGTTATGGTCACCCCAAGGTCTTTCTCCCTGAGTGAGGTCTGTAGTCTTTGTCCACCTAGCCTATACTCTGTCTGCGGTCTTCTTTGCTCCTCCCCAATCTTCATGACTTTGCATTTGGCTGGATTGTGTGTGTGTGTGTGTGTGTGTGTGTGTGTGTGTGTGTGTGTGTGTGT